CACTAGGTTGTTGACTTCGAGCTGGATAATGACAATCATCTAATTCATCTTCTTTGGATGTCTCCAGACCAGATTGATCTTTGGCTTAGATAAACAATGTTGTTTTTAATGACAATATAGCTCAAACCAACTAATATCAAATACTATTGGGGCTTTTCATAGTAATTAACAACAAGTATAAGACCCGTCTCACCTGCATGGCAAGTATTGATAAGTGATAAAACTATTAACACGCACATTTGGATACTTGAGCATATCAAAAAAGCCGTAGACAAAGTTTCAATTGTTATGTTTACTGACAGAGATTCTGCACTTGATACTGCAATTCCAATTGTATTTTCCAAAACATATTCGGTCTACTGTATCTTCCATATAGGACAAAACTTACCTAAAAACTTAAAAGCAAAGTTGGATGTTATTTGGAATAATTTCATTAAGCAGTTTTATGAATATTGACTGTTTAAAGAAAAATGGAATAAATTACTTAATGATTTTCCAATAGCAAAAGACTACCTTTTACAGGTATTAGACCCAAAATGTCATTCATGAGCTCAGGCTAATTTTTACCAAATATTCACGGCAGGCATTGAGAGCATGGCAAGAGTCGAAAGTTATAATTGGGTCATCAAGCAACAATTAAAAGCAAACAGTATATTATATGAGCTTGCTGATTGACTTAATACAAGATTAAAAGATGAAGTATAATAGAATCAGTTTCATGATTACAAACAAGCTATTATGACGAATACTATTCCTATTGCCGAACAAGATTTGTTTCCTGAAATAATTAAAGTTATTGATGAATATTTTACCAAATCTATTTTTACTGCAATTAAAGTAGAGATGTCTTAGTGTCTATTTGTTAGTGTGAACAAGATTAAGCCTAGTGTTAAAAAGTTACATGGTGAACAGGTAATAGTATATAATGCTAAAATTAGATATTCAATTAAATCCAAATTTAAATTAATAGTATACTTTGTATAATAAAGAAAAATAATCAACTAACATCTAATAGATTTATTAAAGACTTTACAATGCATGTTTTATAGGCCTCCGCATGGGCCGGGTAGGGCCGGGTAATGGCAATACCCTAACTCTACCCGTCTGTGTAAGGGCTTGACTTTTGAGCCTTTACTCTACCCTAGGGCTCAAATTTTGATGCCCTAGCCCAGCCCACAAAGCCTGTGAGTACCTGTGGATACCCATGGGCTTATTATTATTAATAGAAAGACTGTTCCAAATTAGATCAGCTGATTTTGTCAGCTCAGATTTAGTTATAATTCTTGTTTAACCAAAATAAAAACACCCTATTGCTAGTTTTTAAATTAGTATTTAGCTCATAATTATAAGTTGAGCCTTTCATCTAATCTCAAGGTGTTCTCAAGCACCTCAATCAAGTGATCGGAAGAAAAATTTTAATTAGTCGGAAATTAAATAAATGAATCAAATGAGTTACCATTCCGATGACAAAATCAGGGAGACACAAACCACCTTTTTTCTTCAAAAATTTACCATTGATATAGGTTGCTCAAACACTACTTTTACATTTTTTGCATATCGAACATAATAAACAATGAATTCTCAACAAATTTCTCAAAAGATAGCAAACACTACTTTTATATTTTTGCATATCGAACATAATAAACAATGAATTCTCAACAAATTTCTCAAAAGATAGCCACTTTTTTTTAATATTCAAAGCTTTTAAAACAAATAATTAATACATTAATATGTGTGTAATAAATACAACAATCTTTTAACGTTCAACCAAACTATAATTAATACTATTATTCCATTTTTTACACATTTAAATTTAATATTTTCTCAGTAAAGAAGACCTAAAACTGAAAAGTTTGGGTAGATAATTTTCTATATTAAAGAATTTTAAATTGTTAAAATCATTAAAGGAGTCGACGTAACTAAAGTTGAACTTTAATGGTTGATTAAAAGAATTTTTTTTTTATTAGGTTTTTTAGATAGTATAGCGATAATTACAAAAAATAGAAAAAGTATGCTCAAGTATTTAATTCTATAAATATCGACATCACTTGAGCATCATCACGGTTATTATCTGATTAATTGATTTAGATGCTTGAGAACAGCTTCAATCTTATTATTCTCTCTATTTATATCTATTCATACTCGAATTGGCATTGTTTAGATTACATATCAAACACCATATTTTATCTTTGTTACAATGTATATATTTACTATAATTATAGGACTTTACATTTCATTTTATTTTTTAATTAATGTGAATAAATTTAAATTAATAGATTTATTAGTTTGTTTAGATACTTAAATTAATAAATATTTATTATATTTACAGATTATATTGCACGAATTAGATAGTAACTTTCATTAAATTAATAAATGAATTATTTTAAATACTTAATAATTGTTCTTTACACTCATGATCTAAAATAAAATTATAATTCATGATATTGAGTAACAGTATAAATCGATAAAAATTAGCCAATAATATGAACTGAAATTTACATAATAGGTACACATGGGTATGGGAGCCGGGTAGTGGTACTACCCAAGCCCTACCCATTTGTGTAAGGGCTTAGTTTCTTGAGCCCTCCCTTACCCTAGGGCTTGGGATTTGATACTCTAGCCCACCCTTGTGGGCCTACCTGCAGGTACCCATGGGTAGCCCAGGCCCATGCGGAGGCTAATGTTTTATTATGGCCAGTCAATTATTGATGAAGTAGGACAAGAAGAAGTATTAGAAATTTGGAAAGTTATAGATATAAGAAGTAAAAAACGATATCATATACATTTTGTTGTTATTGCCAACACGGTATCTTTCTTATGCTCATGCCTAATGTTTATCTCAAAAGAAATCATATGCCATCACTATTTCTGTATTATGATATATTCAAAAATCACGATATTCTACATTAGTATGATACCTTGGAGGTGGTATAAAGACCATCATCAGGATGAATTGATTCCAAAAAGAAAAAGTGCAATGTTTAGATATGAGATGAGAATCTTTAATGATAAAAGGGTTTTACCGATATAAAAACCTACTACCATTCTAACAACTGTTTCTATGGTTAAAAAATCTATTCAAAAAAAGAACTTATATAGTTGCATGTGGGAACTAGTATAAGAAGCTACACTACTTGCAGTTGAAAAAGATGATAATGAAATTATTACTTATCTTCAAGCTTATATCAACTGAAAACATAACAAAAATCATAAAATGTCTAAAAGATCTATGAATGGTAAAGTATCTGATAATGCTTTGGAAATTTAAACAAATAAAACTGATCAATCAAATAAAACTAAACCTGAAACAGAAACTGAAGAAAGCCAAGATATGAATGAAATAAGCCTTGAAAATGTAAAGAATTCAAATAAAGTCTTTACTAAAGGACAGCTACCAAAATGAAGACTTATTAGTAGTGTTGAAAAAGAACAGGTTAACCAGGAAAGATCCAAAAATAAAAGGTCATATAAATGCTGCATCTGTAATACTGCAGGCACAATACGGCTTTTTACAAAAAGAGCAATAATGACAGTACAGAAAGCGGAAAAAGAGGTAAAAGTAAATCGAAAGCATAGAGAAATAGATTATAAAGAGTAAATTAATAGCATAAAAATAAATTAATATAGCAACTTACTCTGTAGTTTGATCTTTTTAGATTCAATAAACGTAAGATTAACAAAAAATTTGAAAAATTGCTATATAAAGCTATTAATTTATTTTTCCCGTGATTAAAAGCAAAAAATTTTACTTTTTCATATAATTTGAGCTTTTTATTTTACTTAGTATGTTAGCTTAGTAAATTTTGATGATTTTGGACAAATTTAGTTAAGTTAGAGGTTAGAGTAAAAGTTAGTTAAAGGTTAAGATAAGGGTTAGTTAGAGGTTAGGATAAGAGTTAGTTAGAGGTTAGAGTAAAAGTTAGTTAGAGGTTAGAGTAAAGATTAGTTAGTTAATTAAAGATTATTAGGATTAGAGTTTTAGAGTTTTTAATTCTGAAAGCCAACCTACTAATAATCATGTAACATTTGTAATTACCTGGTTTAGTTACCTGATTTAGAGCTAACAATACTAGTGTTGGCCCATGATATTATATAACCAATATAATCTATATGACTAGTTATAAATCATTTAGTCATTTTGTAATATATATAATCTATGACATTATATAACCAATATGATCTATATGATTAATTATAGATCATGCAAGTATATATGATCTATGACTTTTAGTTATATAAATAACTAATAAAATCTTTTATAATTAATGCTAAGAGGAATTCTAATTTAAGTTATTGGTTTTTTATTTATCTGTTATTTACTAGTTATTTACATTAATTTTTAATAATAAAAATATGCATACTATAGAATAATCTTGTATATGCATATAACTTTTTTTTAAGTTCATAGTATATATTTACTTTAATATTTTATTAATCGGTGTATTTCAAACATGTTAAATATATTAATAAATAGCATAAGTTCTATTAACGCTTTAACTAAATCCAAAGAGGCTATTCTAAAAAAAAAAAAAACAGAGTTCAAACTTTTTTAAGCTCATTTGATCGGTAAGCTACCATAGATCATAAAATATATTCCAAAAAATATATAAAAAAACTTAAAAAAAAAAAAAAACACCTCTTTCCTATTTTTCTTCTGCATCAATTTTTCTTTGCATCAATTTTTTTTCAGCATTTATTTTTTATTCAGCTTTTATATTTCTTTAGTATCAATTTTCAATTTGCCATCTCTAGATTAAATCTCTCAGAATTATTATAATATTTACTATATGTATATTCGCTTAAAAAAAAAAACTTGCTTATGATTTTTAATTTACATTCTTGGTTGATCGCAATTTCGCAAAGACACATATAATATAAAAGTTAATATATACAAACTTATATATATTTAAAAATTATAGCATATAAACAAAACTTTATTGTTAATATAAAAAAAATAAAGTAAAAATAAATTTACTTATAAGATAAAAAAAATTGCGATTTCATTTTGTATTTGTAAAAATTTGATTATTATCTAAAAATAAAGATGGTTCTAATTCAAGAATATACAAAGAATCTAAAGGCCATTTTGCATTTTTATTATCAGCAGGATGTATAGTACATCCTGCAAAACTAAAATCATTATTCCATTCTGAAGAAGAAAAAATATAATCTTCTTCATTTTCAAATTGGTTTTCATGATTTTCTAATTCAATCCAATCATTAATTAACTGATGCTATTGTTGTTCTTTCTCTTCTTCACTTTCTGTTTCAGCTTCTATTTAAAAATAATTTAGTATTATAATTATATTGTATTAAATTAATTTATAAAAATACATAATAAAATTTTTACCATTGTCTTGATAAATTATTTCAATATCTTTATTAGTTATTTCGTCATTTTCTTTATACTTATTACTACTTATATTACGATTATTCTTGTTCTTTAATTCTATATGTTCATTTGGAATTATAGGTTTAGCAACATGTAGTTGATGAACTTCTCTTTTACATTTATAAGCTTCTCTAACTTTACAGCTATACAATATATTGCTTCTAAGTTGGCTCATTGCTAATACTTTTTTTAGCTTTTTTTATATAGTTAATAAATTAAAATTAATTATCCCTTAATATGTAGACCAACGCAAGCAAATTTGCCTGCATTTTTGCACTTTTTTAGCTCTGATTTACTTTTTTAAAATGCTAAAATATTTAAATAAA